GCCATAAAATGCCAAACACGTACACAGCTCTCTGCAATTAGAACAGTAGATCTGGTCGGGCAGTAGTCCTGAATTTTGGCAAGTAACAGATATGATGTACAATCGGTCAAACCTTAAGACTCATTAGTAAAACGCGGTGTGTCGATTAATTGAGACTGAGGGGTTGAGATAAATCAAAAAAGAATTAGAAGGAGCGGCGAGTCATCAGGCATATTAAAAATAGCCAATGTGTCTGGACGTGTTCGTAGCTTCCACGTGATAAAATTCCGTTGCACTGCCAAAAAATCCTCTAGTAAAATCCGCAATTACGCTTTACGCTCGCAACGCTGAAAAGGTTAATGTTAACGTTCATAAATAATATATTAGGGGCATAAAATTATATTTGCTCGAGGATTGTCAAGACAGATTGCAGGTGAACTGCGTTCTTTCTCCTATGCAAATTCTTATAAATAAAATTTCGGAAAGACCTCGGATATATTTATATTATTGTATTTACATGTATTTTTGTATGTGTCGCGCGCGTCTTCGAATTTCCAAGCAATGATTTTCTTTTCAAAAAAAAAAATAAAAAAAAAAATAAAAAGGGCAGAACGTGATTCTGACCAAAAATTAATTGGTGATAGTATCAAATTAATTTAAATAACGCAATATCTTACCGTCAGTGTGGAGAATTACTTTCATCCCGCGCGAAAACTTGAAAAACGCGACGAGAAGCTCGAAATGTCTACCTGCGACGGTGTCGAGGCCACGTGCGCCCAATTACCACTTGCCTGCCATCGTGCAACTCGATCGAACACGCGCAATCATGAATCGAAGCCTGTCAATCATTCATGGCCACGATTGAAGCCAAATTCAGCAGGCGACGCGCGTAACAAGTGTTCGTGATCCTTGCAATCCGCGCACGCGAGACACGTGGCAATCGGAAGCTTATCAGGTCGATTACGCGACGTGAAATACTGCTGATTCCTTCTCGGCGTTATGCAACTGGCCAAACAATGATGTCTTGCTATTTTTTTCTACTCGACCTTCCCTGCGAAAAATGTTTAGCATAGAATACTTTCTTCGTCGTTCGACTCATCTTTAAATAGAGAACGCGCGTTACGTTCAGGGTCTCTCCCCCCTCGTTACAAAGTTTCAAAACCTCTGAAACGTTGAGAACAACCGTCAGGAAAGCGTCCACGCGTTGCCCAGGCAGCCAGAATTTTACGATTTGTGGAATTGTAGACCGCTCCACTCGCCGTTGTCGCGATACTCGCCGCACCTGTCGACCATCACCGAGTCCCCGTTGTCCACTCTGCGTCGTTACTCGCCGGTGCCGGTGGTGGCCAGCCGGCACCGGCGCGTCATCGACACCGCGGACATCGACGTCTCGACGCCGAGGATGCTGATGCAGGACGGCGGTCATCAGAAAGGCCGTCTGCGTCGCGACAGGCCCACCATCAAGATCAGAAGTCAAGCGCTGAAGGACAATCCCGCGCTACGCCAGCACAACGAGAGACACGAGAGGTCTGTTGGCGAGCTGTTGGTAGAGAAGTTCCTGATCAAGGACAAGAAGCTGGACGAGACGGAGAAACGCTTGCAGCTGCTGCGTCAGACCAGCCCGAACACGGACGAGGACCAAGACAGCGACAAGGATCTGCAACAGGTGAAGAGTAAGATCACCAGACGGTTCACGAGGAGGAGATCCTCCGCGGATATTCAGTTGGACGCCGAACAGATAGAAAGGGAGGTGGCTTACGCTCAGGTCCAGGCGAAGGTGTTGGACACCCTGGTGGCCGAAGAGCAGGCTGAGATCGAGAACGAGGTTCGCAGAGGCACGTTGATCAGGAAAGGTGGCCCTCTCGGCGGGCCGAGGACCGTTGCCAGGTTCTTCAGGAGCGATGGCGAGTCCTTGTCTCAAGGCGAGGAGGAGGCCAGCGCACAGAAGGTGAGGAAGACCTTGAAGAAGGTGAAAAAGAAAAGGAGAACCACCGAGAAGCCTTCGCCGCCCATCGAGGAAAGTGAGAATCCAAGGGGACGTGCGTCCAGTACCTCCAGCGACGTCTCCGCGGACATCCAAACGAGCGAGAACGACGAGGAGGAGCTGCGAAAGCGCTCGAGTTCTCAGATGTTCAAGGTCGAAGCCAGTAACAGCGTCGGAGACTTCTCCACCATTTGGGTGAACAGCAGCCCTACGGAACAATTTCGGGAGAGCGTGAAGATTCCTGTTCCCAAGAAGGCAGCGGCGCGCAACGAGCACGAGGCTCAAGACGAGTCTGAAACGGAAGTGGTGTTACCTGTGAAGAAACCTTACGTGAAGGACACTTCGAGGAACAGCGTGTACTTCACGGTGAAAACGCCTCCGGAGACCCCGAAGAACGATTTGGAAATTGTCGCCGATGACAGAACGAAGCCGGTGTCCCCTAAAGGCAAAATAGTTGGTCAGATCTTGTCTGTGGAGCAGACTGAGAAAACGCCAGGATCTCCTAAAGAGAAAACCGTCAGTCAGACCTTATCCGCAGACGTTATCGAGAAAGGCTCTAAGAAAACGCCAGAAGTGTCTGCCAAGGGAATTAAAATTGACGAAATTTCTACGAAAGATACAAACCTGAAAGGCGAAATCCTGTCGAAACGAAAGAAGGAAACGATACAGAAGAAGACCGTCGATATTCCCAAGCAGAAGAAGTTGGAATTTCTGGATAAAAGGAGCCCACCACAGTGCCCGGTGTCTTCTGTTGTCCCTGCATCGAAGAAGGAAGAGTTACCAGGGCTCGGGAGGATCGTCGACGTGGCCGCGAAGACAAGGGTTAAAGAGAGCAACGTGACGCTAACAAGTGATGACCTATTGGCGAGCGAAAGCAGCGCCAGTGGAGCGCTTCCATCGGTCGCGGACAGCCTGCCAAAAGCGTCTAAAATTAATACGGATGAAAATAATGCCGTAGAAGCGCCAAAGTGTGCGTTGTTACGAGAACCGCAGTACCTGGCAAAGCCGACGTCGACGAAAACCGAGGACGTCGTGTCTCCGTTGTCGGGGAAGAAGGTGGCCAAAGCCGTGACCTTGAGGAACGCCTTCGCAACGAGTGTCCCTGGTGAAACGGGGAACGCAGACCGTCCGAAGGAGCCCTCGAAGAAAGTCAACCAGTCAACGAACGCTTCCTCCAACGAGGACGCAAATAACAATCTCGCGTGCAAGCCGACCTTGTCAGAGGGTAACGCGCAAAAGGTGGAAGCTTCTGGAAGAGTTGCCGAGAGGAGCGAAAAGAGCGCGAAGGAAGATGTCAAGGATAACAAGGTAAAGGAGGGCTCGAGTTTCGAGAAGATGGTGACAACGAGGAAGAACACCGAGGCGAACAAAGAGCCCAAGATCCCGTGGAGAACGAAAGGTTTTCCCAAGGTCGATGCTCCTGGCGAGAGCTCTATCGTCGCGGATTCCAAACCCATTTCGAGGCCCGAGCAACCAACAGACACGAAATCGTCGAAACAATCCGTCGACGAGAAGCCGATGACGAGCCTGACACCGTTAGAGAAGCCGGCGGTGAACGGGGAGATCGGCAGCTTGTTTAAAAGCACGTCCACCGAGTCGATAGATTTCTGGAGCGAGATCAAAGGACCGGAGAGTCCGAAAGTGACGAAAGTGGCTAACAAGGGATTCTGTTTCGCGGCTGGTTCGAAGAGCTCGGAGTCGGGTCAGGCGGTCGAGGACCTCGCCGGCAGGCAGCTGGACAAGAAAAAAGAGACTGATCCTAAAATAAGCGTCGCCGCTCCGCCAGCCGAGCTCAGTAATATCCCCGTGATCGAGGAAGAGCGGAGGGAAACCGAGGAGGACCCGTCGACGAAATCCGAGAACTTGGAATCCGACAAAGGTGACTCTGCGCCAAAGAAAGGATTGAAGAAGAAGAAGAAGAACCTGTCCATAACGATCGATCCTATCCAGAATGCGTACTCAACGGTGAAGAGGACTCCCTTCAAGAGGGAAGATTCCTCGGCGTCGACTGTTTCTTATAAATCTGCGACTAGCACCCCGGACACTTGTGTTCCGGATTCTGAAGTCTCTACGCCGGTCCTAGAGGTGCCTGTGATAAACATCGAGGAAGACGAGCCGAAGACGCCAACTAACGATTGGCAGGACGTTAAACTGTCGAAGATCAGCAAGTGGAACAATCACAGTGACCTTTCGAACGTCGAGGCGGAGCAGGAGGTGACCCCGGTGCCTTCCAAGGAAGTCAGCGCCGCTTGCAGCCCGGAGAGCACTCCGGAGTCGTCTAAAAAGAAGAAGATCGTCAGGAAGAAGAAACCTTCCACCACCAAGAAAAGCTCTACCAAGAAGGACAGCAACAAAGACAGCAAGGGATCGAAGAACAGCTCCACCAAGAAGAGCTCCGCCAAGAGTCAGGAAGCCCCGAAGCCACCGGAAGTGAAGAACTCCGGCAAAGCTAAGCAAGAGAACAAGAACGCACCTACCCCGAAGCCCATAGATCTCATCAGAATGTTTTACACCACTCCGTCGGCGTTGCTAACCGCCACACCCAGAGACTTGTCTAAAGTTCGCCGGGCGAAAATAAAGAGGAAGAAGCATCACTCTAGGACGCCGTCTGTGAGCAGCGACAGCACCGGAAGTACCACTAGTACAGCGACCACGGAGAGCAGCGGATCCATGGAGCTCGACGACGACCCGGAACACAAGAGGATGAATTCCACCAGGAGCAACGACTCCGGCTTCGACGGCTCGCCAAGGATATCCAGTACATTTTTTTTTTTTTTCTACTGCAACAATATATAGATATATATTTTTTTTAGATCGTTTGTCCCTTGGATTTTCTCTTATTTTTTTTTTTTTCAACCTCACCTCAGGCTATTCTGTTTTGCTTGAACTGCCAGATAAAACTCGCAGCCAGCTCGCAGAGATTGTGCTGTGTTCCCAGAGTGTGGGTGGTGTGTTTATGTGTTTTTGTGAGGCAACATATGCTGGTTTCAATTACTTCCCGGCTATTCTTTAATCCCCCTCCCCCGCTCGCAAAATATACTAAATCCTCGCCGAGGATATTGAAGCCGGGAGCTTGCTAACCGTTTGCTATTGTTCCTCATGCTATTGTTACTGAGCCTATTACTCGGCCACTAACCAGCGACATTCACTTTCGCCAGCCTGCGCAGCTATTTTCTGCATGGAATTTTAGAATCATCAGACAAAGTCAAACACCGGTCAAAGTATCGGGAAACAGTTCCGCTAGTTGCATAATCGTTCCACGTCCACGCGGATTCTCCGATCCAATGGATCTTTGCAAAGTGCAAAGCCAGTTTCTTCGTCGTTACATAAGGTCGTTGTCACAGAGTCAACGACACCGTTCACCACGTTTGTTTACAGAAAGCACCGTAACCGTTGAAACGGTTTCCCGATCGTTCGTCTTCCACGGTCTCGATAAATATACACGCGACTCTCCCGGGGGGGCTTCCGAAATTTCCACTCGGGGAATGCGACTCGCGTCGTTGTCGCAAATTCTTCGCATCTTGCATTAAAAAGCAACACGTGTTTTACGCACCGTTGCTTCGTTGATTCTATTTATAAGGCTGGTGGATTTCACAACAATACTCTAGTCTTCATAATGCAGCGGTCGGAGTGGTTGATGCTGCGAACGAAACGAGAATTTCGTGATAAATTTAGATGGAACGGCGATGTGTTGATTAGGTATCTAGTAGAGAATGGACCGTGCGGATGAACGTTCGTCTCCGAGATGTTTCGTGCAAGGTGCATCAAACTAGTAACTGAGAAACAAACGAATAACACGTGCAATCGTTCGCAAACAGACTGCGACATGGCCTGTCACAAAAAGTGCGAGAAACTGACCGGGAACCTCTGCGGACTGAACCAGAAGCTCGTGGCGGAAGCTCTGCAGGCGCTGAAGAAAGGTGAGTTACAAACCGTTCCAACTCGCTACGAAGAGAAAGGAGAAAAAAAAAAAAGGAAGAGAAAAACCGGACTCTTTAAATCTTAAATTAAAGAGTTTCCACTCTTTCCCAAACGAAGTCTTCTCTCCTTCGCATTTGATCTTGAGCGTTGGCCGCGCGGCGAGACTTGGCTGATCCAAGGTGCGCATACGTCTACGACTCGGCCGCGATTCCACTGTTGCTATCATAAATCCATTCACTCCGGCCAGATAGGCGATACCATGATTTCAGCAAAATGGAATTACATCATCGTTAAATCAGTCGCCGGTACTTATACACTGTTACAATCCTCCTGTCTCTACCCTAATCCATCATTTCTGCCCGCGTCAGCTCTATTTTTGCGAAACGCTAGTCGGCCAACATCCAGCGTGTTCGCATTGCCAGATCCGGCAATCGACGAATTAATGAGCTTATTAATCGAGATTTGACGAACCAGACGTTCCTTGGCTTCGGGGAGATCCCGGAAGAGAACTGAGAATACGATCGTTCTCTTCCAACAAATAGAGAGAATTTTGTTCAATAGTTGTTCGTTAAGCGTCTCTTCACTCCACCAGTAAGTATCATTCACATCTCGAACGGGCAATTTTCACGAGCTGAGAGAGCTGCACTGCAAGTATTTCAATGTCGTTTATCTTTACTAACCACGACTAGTTTCTATTGGGTTGTGTGACAAGTTCGTTTTCACCCCCTAATGTTACATTCCAGATTATAGTATATAATTGAGTTGTACGATCATTTCGTTTTGTAAAAGAATACACACTTCTTTTAGAGACAGCAAAGTCTCAATTTCTATTACAGTTTAGATATCCAAGATTATTGCAACATTGCAAGTATTAACTGTCTCAATGTTCGGAGAATTTCATTTATAAATAATCGTCGAACAACTCAAGGCCTTCAAGCTTTGAACTTATTGAA